CCACCCCCCGCCCCCCCCCCCGTACCCCACCCCTAGGCTAGGGAATTATCCCTAATGCCAAAACAGAAGCCACAGTGAGTTTCACTGTCTTTTTTATTTTATTTAATAAAGCTGTGTGGATTTTGGCAGAGCAATAAATCCCAAATCCCAGGAGGGAGTGACATTCAAGAATGAAATAATTATATATATATACTTACTATATACAAATAATAAATTTAAATAATAATACTGTAATACACATACACACACACATAAATTAAATGTAAAAGAATTAAAACACACACCACAAAACCTCAATGTGTGTGTGTGTGTGTGACTGTGCATCACCCAACCAATTGCTTTTACTCCATTAGCACCTTCTCCTATGCACTCTCTCTCTCTCTCTCTCAATAAAGTTTTTTTTTTTTTTTAAATCCCTTTTCTGTGATGGTATGTACAATGGAGAGTTCAATTACTTGACTGTTGTCACAAGTTATGGATAAGGCTACAGTAAACAGTGAGGTTGGCAACAGCCACTAGTTTTCTGCCACGTTGCCCAATCAAAATCCATTCTTTCAAGACTCTGTACAAATTCCCATAATACAAATATTTATGTATTTACACAGATATACAGGGCGTATACATTTTACACACAATACATATATACATACATACACCCATAGATTTATTTAACTGAAAAAACAAAAACCCTAATTCAGCCTTCTTTTTTCTTTAACCAAAAGTGGTAAAAAAAATGGAATCTTGAAATTTTGGTTTTTCTTTTGGGGTGGTTTCAGAGAGTAGTCCAAACTCCAAAGGGGTGACTCTTTCTTTCACAACTTTCTGGGGGCGTTTTGGACTTTTCCCCCTTACCACAAATAAAACAACCCACCTTTTTTTTCTTTTTTTTTTTCAGACAAGAGTGAAAATGAGTGCAGACTGAGATTTTCTCAAGTGAAAGAAAGAAAGAAAGAAAGAAAGTCCCATCATTTTTAATTTTTTTTTTCCTTTTTCCTGCTTCGAGTTCGGGCCGGGCCGGGTAGATCCGAATAAAGGGTTTAAGAGAAAGCCCACACATCTCTCTGGATTTTGTCCTTTTCCCATCTGCTGCTGCTGTAAGAGACTTGTTTTTTTTTTCTTTTTTTTTTCAGTCCTTTTGATATCTGTAATTTCGTTTGGAAGTTTGCAGCATATCACACAAACTCTGCAGCTTTTTTTTTTTTTTTTTTTTTTTTTTTTTTTTTTAAATTTTCTTTCAGAGTTCCAATTAGAGATAAACTGAGAAAAAAAAAAAAGCTTGTTCTTTTATGGAGTCATTTTGAACCATAGGCATGGTAGATCCTTGATTTTATTCTCTTACACACACACACACACACACGCACAAAGAACCCCATTTTAGTCTTTTTAATCCCCCCCTTGAACACCCCATCATTTTTCTATCCAACCCCCCTTTAAAAAAATTTTCCCCCGGCCAAAAAATTTATTACAAGCTTCTTTTTTTGGGTTTTTGTGGCGTTTGGATTTCGAGTTTTCTTTCTCTCTCTCACACACACACACCCCTTTTTCTAGCCCTTAGCAAGTTTCGGAATGATGGCGGCGCCGGCGCCGTTCGACGGCGGCGATGACTTTCAAGAAGAGGATATCTGGGCTGTGATGAAGCCCAGAGATCATGATCAGCTCTCCTTCAAAACAAGAAAGAATTTTTCCGGTTCTCCGTCGTCTGCATGGCGCTTCTCCGACACCTCAAGAGGCATACCGAGATCCACCTCCGACTTGGTGCCGCCACCTCAGCAGTCGTCAGCTCCGGTCAACGTCCCCGACTGGTCAAAGATTCTGAAGAAGCCGGCGCCGGTCAAAAGAAACCCACGCGGCGGCGACGACGACGACGACGAAGATGATGAAACGAGAGTCCCACCACACGAGTACTTGGCGAGGAGATTGGCGAGCACGCAGATTGCTTCGTACTCAATGTGTGAAGGTGTTGGAAGAACTCTCAAAGGAAGAGATCTTAGCAATCTCAGGAACGCCATTTTAACCAAGACTGGTTTTCTTGAATAAATTAATCATTTTATTAATTATTATTGCATGATCATCACCACCTTTTAGCATTTTTATATTTAATTTAATTTTGGGGTTTTGTGTGTGTGTGTGTGTGTGTGTGTGGATGGTCCTTTGTGTAGTAGTAGTAAATGGAGTGTGGATCGAACCAAGACCGAAAAATCTTGGTTGTCAGAACTCCCCTTTTTGGGCTTCTTTTAGGTAGTACTATTATTATTTTATTATTATTATTATTATTATTATTAAATCCAATTAGTGGCAGCCTCTCAGATTTTGTATTCCAACATCATTTTCTATTTTCTTCATTTTATTATTATATAATGTTAAATTAATTAATATCTCTGTTGTGTTTTTTCATATATATTATTTTTCCAATTCTCGTGTCAATAAATTCAGATAACTTTAGTTGACCCTTATCCATTGGATTGAAAATAGAATCATTTAATAGTTGGTTAGATATTCACATGTAACGCATGCTTTCAAATTGGCCTATGTGACATTGATACTTCTTCCTTTTTTTTCCTAAATTTTCATTTTCTTTATTTATTTTCGTTTGAACACTATCTAACACAAACCTTGACCTTTCCGAAAATCGTAATTTCAAACATAAATTTTATTGATCGGCATAATCTTATTTTGTCGCGTACAAATTAACAATTAACGTAGATGTGCTCTCGAAAGTTGGAACTTCAAATTTTATTGGCTGGCGTAATTTGTTCGTTGTCGAGATCCCAACTAACGAACTTGTCCTCTTAACGTAATATTGACGTGCATAACTTTTATTCGTCGTAATTTCAACTGACTGGTGAACATAAGTTATGAAAGTCAAAATTAAAATAAAAATACATTTTATTAGAAAGTTATAAGTTATATATATATATATATAAATTATACTTTTTTAAATATCCCAAAAAGGCAATTATTAAAATTGAGAAAAAGAAATGAAAATATGAATTATGGGAAGATATTAAGAGTTAAAAACTAAACAACATTTTTGGAAAGGCCCAAACGCTTAACCGCTAGTGGGCCATCAATCTTAGCCCAATCTTACTGCAAAACATTTTCTCCAAACGGCGTCGCATTATTCATTCGTTTTAATTTTCCTTTATTTATTACTTTTTGCTGATAGATTGGAGCTACCAATCACCCACAACACTCAGTTTCAAAATAATTTCTTCAGATTTCTGTTTCTTACTTCGTCAAATTGATTTCGAGCTTACCCGGGATGACAATGAAAATGGCGCGCTATGAAGAACTTAGGATTGCATTGGGCAATTTGTCAGGTATTGAGTATGTTCGATTTCTGTTTTTGATTTAGGTCTTACATTTCCTTTACTTTGGGTTGCTGCTAATTAAATCTATGAATTTAGTTTGCATGTGATA